TGGTGCATCAGTAATACAGGTGTAATTATGTACAACTACCACTGTAATTCAGTGTTTTGACATTTTTAAAACTGTCTAAACCTTTGTGGGTTTCCCCACCAGTGATGGGCTTGATCCAGCTAAGCTCAGCTAGCAGGATCAAAAAAGAAGTGTTGCTGTCTCTCTGCCTCTTGTTTCTCTGTGTTGTTTGCAGCATCATAACGAGATGCACGCACACACTCTTTGGGGTGTGGTGGGGGGTTCTTGGTACGATCAGCTTTCACTTGAAATGTTGTGTTGCAGACCTGCAGAAAAAGAAAATCATTACACACTGTGGTTTTTGCCCCCATCCCCCCAGTCTCTCCCATCACGTCAATTACAAATCGACCTTTATGTATCTACGTCATTTATTTCAGCACCCTCATCACGTCCTCCCGTCGCCGGGTCACTGAGGGTGACTCCTTCAAAAAGATCGCCGTCGCATCTACATTTCAGATCACTGACTGTATCTGCCCTGCAGATTTGATCAGCCTGCAAAGTCCTTGCAGAGCAGATCAAAAGCCCTTTAAAGACTTGTTTATGAAGCGCTACCTGACATATTCAATTTCACCAGCTGTGGCTCTGGCCTGTCAGCTGCACTGGATGATGGCTGATCAAACAACAGTTGTGGAGGCCATTGCACTTTAAAAATAAAAAAAAAAATGTCCATCGCCACCTATGCCTGCATTTATATTTTACGAGGCCAGTTAGCGTGAAAATCCTGCCTAATGCGACACCCCGCTTTTGATATCTCAACTTAACAAGCGCACTCTGAGCAATAAATAAGATTAGCGCGCAGAAACACAGTCAATTCATAATCCTGGTGTGAGCTGGTTAGGAGAGACCTAGAGCCACGCAGATCTCCGTGTAGGATGGAGAAATGACTCAACAATACCCAAAGTGAAAAGAAAGAAGCAGATGGAGGAACGTGTAAATATTTGGGACCTGTTTGGTAAAAAATAATGTTGCCCCTGACCTCCCAGCAGCTTCCCATCCTCTGTTACCACGAGGCCAGGAGCGATAACGAGATTAGCATAAGCACTTTTAGTAAGTCACTGTGAATAGGATCCTTAAGAAGGCTTAAACTGTCCCCTTTCACCAGCGGTTGACAGATAGTTGAGAGCTGACTGGCACATCTGCTTGGTCGCCGCTCTGTTCTCTTAGAGATCTTCAGCGCTGGCAAATCAATGGGAGATCCATCACTTGAAGGGACGCAGGGTGCAGGGAAGGAGAGCAAATCACTTCTATAAGTGATAGCAGCTATCAGGCAAATGGGCAGAAAATGGTTCCTAATGGTGCCTGGTATGTCTGGTGTAAACTGCACCCAGACTCTTTGTCGTCCATCACCCCGGAGCATATGTAACCGAAAGTAGGGAGGAGGCAAGAAGAGGGAAGCATCTGCTCGTTCAGCGTGGGAACCCCTCAGGGGGTGACACGGTAATCTGGGTTCACGTCAAACCGAATCTGGCGCCTGTGCGGATGATGCTGTGTCAGTGGCTAAGTCTGTGTGTCAAGCAGCTGAAAGTCACTAAATGTGCACCGTACC